ACCAATCGCTAATTTGTTTTCAAATACAGCTGACATCAATTCTAGATTATCAACAAAACCAACTAGTCTCTTATCTTACTATTGGCAGGTGTGTTTCCCAGTCTCTTAGGGGGATCATCCAGAGCTTAGAGATATCTAACTCATCTTTGCTGTTCTAGAGTTTAACACACAGATAGCCAAAAAAACACATTGCTAGATTCATGTTTGGAGAATGAACGAATATGTGCAGACTACTTCATCTTTGATCAGCTGTCTTCATCCTTCATAACTCTATGTATTTGAATGGGCATTTGCAGAGCCTGTGTACCAAACAGTGGTTCAGAGGTTGGTCTGGAGTCGGGGCATCTGGATTAGTGGCTGACATGAACATTTATTCCTTATATCTGTATAATCTCTGATTTGTGCTCCAAGGTGACTCACGATCCCTACTATAAGATGGGTGAATAGCCACCTCTTGGGGTTATTGAGAAAACTGCATCAGATGACATTATCAAAGGGCTGTTATAATTTTATTATCTCCAAAGCACTTTCAAGAGCATCTTGGACACTTTGAATCTGTCTCTTTTATTGACACTGGTCAGTTCTGTGGTCTCTGGAACGAAGATCAAGAACTGGGATAGGTGGTTGTATCATGAGCAAATAAATGGAACGAGTCCCCACCTAGATTTCAGTTCAGCCAAGCACTGTCATTAATGAGGGTGTGGCCTCCCCCCAGCTGCCCTTCCACGAAGCCCTGTCTCTTTAGTTTTCTGGGTAGAGTTACCTGGTGCCTGTGAGACGTGCTGTGTCCCTGGGGAACTCAGCTGTGCCAGATGAGGAGGGGTTTCCACAGGCTTTTTCTATAAGGCTTTGCTCTCCCAGGTCCTCTCTGCAAGGCCAGCCCTCTTGGTTCCAGAGGCTGATCCAAGGTGAGGAGCAGGGCCCATGATTCAAAAGTCAGCACCTAACACGATCTTTCACACCAACATGGGAGAGAATTCAGTCCCCCAGTGTGGCCAAGGCTGCAAGCTCTGTAAGACCCTGGTGTGCATGAAATCTGCTCTCTGTGACCCCCAAAGGGCAGGAGAGGGCCGAGGGGTGGAGTCCAAGGGGCCTGAGGGGGTCCAGGCTTTTTGCTTAATCAGCTCATGACCTTGGGCAAGTCACTTAACCTCTGAGCCTCAGTGCCCTTCTCTCTAAAATGGGCAGAGTGACCCACAACCTGGTCACATCCTGGAGGGGGTGAGAAGGGAGCGAGGTAACTGCATGTACCTCATCTGCCACTGGCTCCTGGGGAAGTTCTCGGTATCCACAGTCTCCACATCGGGGGCTCAACCAACTATGGATCAAAAATACTTGAAAAAAATTATTTATTTATTTATTTTTTAGTTGCCCGTGTACCTTCCCCCCTATTCAATCTACAATAAGGCCAGAAATACGTTTTCCAAATTCCTATTTTTTTTTTGCCTCAAAAGTGATTATCTCAAGTGATTAGTGGAAACAAAACTCTTAAAAACACAAATAAAAATAATACAGCAAAACAACTGCGATATTCACATATCATATTGTCAGTCATCTGGAATGATTTAAAGGGTACAGAAGAATTGTGGGGTTCTGTGCAATCATACGCCATTTTGCATAAGGGTCACGAGCATCCATGGGTTGGCACCTGCAGGGGTCCTGGATCTGACCCTCTAGGGACACAGGATGCTCTTCCTTGCAACCGGGGAAGTTAGGGTTTCCTTATATTTGATTCATTACAAATTCTCATACATGAGACTCTTTCTTAAATAGTTTATTCTGAACTAGAACTCACCTGGTCTAGAACTCCCCCTGAACCAACTGCATACAGGTTGGGGACACTACTGTGTGGCAGCTGCCACGCTGATGATAAAGAGCCAGCGGATGGGAAGTGGGGAGTTTCCAGATGAAGGGTTTCTAGCTAATGAAAACAAGGGTGTCTCCGGTACCTGCTTAATTTTTTTATATTTGATGAATTTGCAATGTTTTGTTCAATGACAACATTTCATGTCACTTCTTAAGGTGTCAACATACACAAATGACTCCACTTTTTAGTGTAATGTTCTCTTAAAAGCAGAAACGTTCTGTTTACAAAAGCTGTGTGTCCGCGTCTGTCTCGTCACTTAAACTCGCGACTTTGTCTTTTCGGTGCACAAACACGTGGACTAACCTGCCATGAAGGTAACAGGCCGTCCACAGGAGTGGGTGGTCATCACAGGGTGGGCTGGTCTGTCATGCGTCACACCCTCCCACTCCCTCTGTGTCACATGCCGTGTCAGGTCACAGCAGCACGAGCCCCTCCCCAGATGGCGCACCGTGTTCTTGCACTTCCCAGCTCCCAGGACTGAGAGCCAAATGAACTTCTATTGCTTCTAAACTGCACAGCCCTGGTCTGTGGCTACAGCCGCAGAAGAGGAAGACACCATTAGAGACATCATTAGAGATGGAGTCTCACGAAAAGGGTCTGCAATCCCACCTCACCAAGTCCTGCCACCCCCTGAGCTGTGGAGGGACCATCACCGAGTTGAGTCCCCTGTTGGCCTAAAATGGCCAGACCTTTAAATGTCCATCTTGTTCAGTCCCTAGATGCCACCTGTCCTGGGAAGGGCAACCTCTGAGAAGCCGAGAGCTGGAGGCTGTCTGTTGAGCCCTGTCCCCAAGACACGGTGACCCCCATACCCCACCAGCTCCAGGCTGGACACCAGGGCCATGGGGCTGTGGCAGTGCTGATGGAAACCAGGAAGGCGGGCAGCTGGTGAGTGCCATCTGGGGTCCCTGTCACAGGCAGTGTGCGGGAGAGAAGGGTGCAGCCTCTTCTGACGGGTGGAAGTTGGGGAGGCTGTGGGGGGTGGAACTGGGTTGAGGAGTTTCTTTCTGTGCCCTTCTCCAGCTGGGCTGGAGGGAGCTGTAGAACAAGGGCAGCCCCAGCCAGGAGCCTCTGGACCCTGATGGGAAGGGGCCAGAGCTCAGCTGCAGCCTGGGTGCTTCTGGGAAGGCAGCGGGTGGGCCCTGGTGAGTGGCCAAGGGCGGCTACTTGCTGATCTGCTCTGCTGAGAAAACAGGCTCTTTCCCAAAGGCTCTTGCAAGCAAGGATCAAGGCCTTTTTGTTCTCTTTTTGGATCCAGCAGGGAACCAGAGCGAGGCAGGGGCTGCCTGGGAAACTGGAACCGGACTGGGGAGCCAGGAGGCCGGGCTTTGGCAGAGATCCATCTTACCCAAGTGTCCCCAAACTAAAATCCCACTTACAGGAAAGGAAAGCAGAGTTCAAGAGAATGTGGACCTGGGGAGTCTGTTTAGAAACCACTGGGAAGGATGGAAAGGATCAGTCACTCAAGAGGTGACAAAAACATCTGTTTTCTACCCTAGTCCCCCAGAGGTAAGTGAGCCAAAGAAACCCTTGCTGACCTCCTCTGTCATCCTCCAGGGTGGACGACGGAGCTGCTGGCACATTGTGTCCCCAGGATCAGAGATGGAGCCACGCGATGGCACATACCAACTTGAAGTGCACATGCCACACTAGCACCTCCTGTCCCCACTGGCCTGCCTCTGCTGAGCATTGGGCCTCCGTCTCGTTCCAGAGGGGCTTCTGTCCTCCAGGACCCCCAGCTGCCCCTGCCTGCTTCTCCCTGCCCTTTCGCCTCCTTCAAGGGCCAAGTCTAAAATCTCAAAGACCCCCAGATTTCTGCACCCTGGATTGTCACCACGATTCCTACCACTTAAGACAGCAGCTGAAAAGCCAGCCTGGTGGCACATGCCTGTAGTCCCAGCTGCTCAGGGGGCTGAGGCAGGAGTCTGAGGCCAACCTGGGTGATAGAACAAAACCTTGTCTCTTAAAACAAAACAGAGTTCAGTTGAGGAATTGTGTGTTCTGTTTTTTTCCCCTTTTATTAAATATCTATTTGGGGGCACTAATTATCTAGGTCATCAGACTGTCACACATGCAAGCCAGTGTTGGATTGCAGACATTTCCATCACTGGATTCCAGATAGAAGGACGGGGAGCGGTTGTACTTCCCCAAGGGAATCCTGCATGTGGGGCGACCCCAAGGGAGTTTTGCTTAGCACCGATTCCCAGCGCTCCCCACAGAGCCAGGCATAAAGAAGGTGGTCATGAAAATTTAGAAATGGATAAATGAGGGAACAGATGGCTGGTTTGAAGGACAGCATAAAGGAGGAAATTCCTTCTCCAGTACCTGAGCCCCATTTTTTAAAGCTCTGTTCCTGTCTGGGATGCTCTGCTGTTTCCTCTTATCCAACTATCAAAGGGACCTTCAATGCCTTTATTCTCACTCAGAGAGAGGATTGGGAACAGGTCAAAGATGAAATGCATAGAGATTAAAATGTGTTGCATTTTAGAAGAAAGAAAGGGAATATAATACAGTACTTTATCTTTTTGATCACAATTAAATAATTATTAGGGTCAGGATTCATTTAGTGTCTGCATCATTGACACCATCACCACAAGCATTATTATCAACATACCACCACTATCACCACTACACCACCATGACCGCCACCACCACAACCACCATCTCCATCACCACCATCACCATCATCACCATCAATACTGCCACCACCACCACCACTACCACCATCTCCATCATCACCATCACCGCCCACCATACCCGTTATCTCCACCATCACCATCGCCAGCCATTATCACCCTAACCACCATTACTTTGACACCATCACCACCATTATACCACTTGGAAAAAGTGATATCTAAACTGGATTTTGAAGCTGGATAACAACTGGCCAGGTGGGTAAGAAGCAGGTGTTATAAGTCCCAGAGTGTATAAAGAAAGGACAGGATTGTTAGGGTGAAGGCTAAGGATTCTGGCTCTTTCCGAGTGTGAACAGGGGAGAAGAAACTGAACAGGTTGGTAGTTGGAGAATCGGGAGTGGCAGGTATTGACCTTGCAATTACAGCCCTTCTGACTGTTGCTATTTAACAAACTTGGCTTTTCTGTCATAGGCAAGCGATTTTAGCAAAGGAAATGATACTTACTCATTCATTTATTCAACAGATAATTATTTACCATCATGTACAAGATTCAAGGGATACAAGCCAAGAACAAAACCACCGAATACATTCAAATGGCCTCATTGATCTCCACAACAAGCCTAAGAGGCCGTGAGAATCCACTTGGCTATTATTGGTAAAAATAGCCTTGGAGCCTTCAACTCAATATTTACATAATCACTCTTCCTGGCAGCCCTGTAGGGTACATGGTGTCCATTTTCAGGAAGGCTGACGGTTGAGGAGAAGCTAAACATGCTGTTCAGACACATCCAGCCAATCAGGACTGCAGCCAGGACTCACAGCCGGGTTGGTGTGGCATCAAGCCTCAGGATCTTTGCTTTCCTGGCACCGTCTAAGAGAAACACAGCTGCAGCTGCAGCCAGGCCTGGGGTGTTTCAGGACTTGGGGATGTTTCTAACATTTAACTCGATTTGCTCTGGGGACACCATTTATTTAGACTCCCCCCTCCTCTCCCAAGCAGGGCCATGGAGGCTTGGGAGACCCAAGCGGGCCCCTCCCCACCCACACATTTCCAAGCAGCTTTGCAGCCTGACCTGCCTCTGGAGGACTCGGGCGTCACGGGCGGAGCTCTCTGGGTGATCACAGAGGCCCTGGGGTGTCTGGGCGGGTCGTTCTTGCCAGACTCCTGCCTGGTGTCCTCTGGTATGGGAAGGGGCAGGGGGCGGGCAGGTGTGAGGAATAGCAGCTGGCAGCTCTGGGAACCAGTTCCTTCGTCCAAAACGGAGCAGCTCCAGGTCAGAGCAGAAGGCCCAAGCCAGGATGCCCAGGTTCTCCCAAAGTCTGGAAAGAATTCAGCCCTGGGGGGAAGGCACACACTCCAACACTGGGAAAGGGGATGTGGGAGACTGGAAAAGAAGAGCCATACAATGTATGGGAAGGCCAAGGAGAAGCCCTCAGAGGGATGTAGGCACCTCCCAGCATCCAGCATCCAAATACTTAGCCTCACAGGGACAATGTGGTGACTTTCTATTCTCCCTCACTCCAGACTCAGCTCCGCAGGGGCAGGCACGGTGCTGGCACACGGCTGGTGCCAGAGAGAGGTTTGTGAGTGGATTTAAAGAGCACCGTAGCCAGAAGCGTGGAAGATGTCTGCCGTAGGGACGGGGACAGCTGCCCTGATTGCCCGGAGGAGACGGAGGGGGGACCCAGGAGGGGTGCTGCTCACACACAGCCCCAGTGTGCGTGGGCACTCTTGCTGTGACAGGCACACCTGGGGGCAGGGCTGTACTGGACACGGTCCCCTACCTGAAGCCTGTGGCGGAGTGTGGGGGTGGCAGGTGCTCACGTTCACACTGAGGATATAGGACTGGCTGTGGTCCTTGGGACCCAGAGAGCCATGTGCCGTGCCCCAGAAGGACAAGTTCATGGTTGCTCGTGACCCACAGGTTTGGCGTCCTTCTCTTTGATACAAGGTCCTCGCCCACGTTTCCCCCACTTTATCACTTTAATGGATAACGTGTGAATGATGATTGAGGTGACACCGTCGTAGCCTTCCTGTCCCAAGAAACCACCTCGGCTCAGGTGCTTGCAGAAGCTGCTCTTTTATCACCTTCCTGCCTGACTCTGGGTCCAGAGGCATGTGGTCCAGGGAGGGACACCCAACCCAGACAGGGACCACGCGGGCTGTGGGGGTAGGGACACGGGTCAGGCAGAGACTGTAAGGTGTGGACCTTGGAAGAGCTCAAGTGGCAGCTCCAGGAGGTGTCGACTTAGCCAGGAAGGGCTGACGCTCCTCAGGATTCTCATCCCTTGCACAGCTCCGGATCAAGACCGGCCACCAGGGAAGTGGGCAGCGGGACTGCAAGGCACAGCCTGGCGCTCTCTGCTGGCGCCGGGGCCTGGGGGCTGTTTCTGCCCCTGCCGGCACACCTGTGTTCACCAAGCAGCATCCGTGCCTCCGTGGCCCCTCCCTGGGATTTTCCACTTCCCAAGCCAGGGGAAGAGCTGCCGCACCTTCCAGGGGTTGTTGCATCATAGGACTGCAGGGAGACCCAGCCCCTGCCCCCTCAAATGCCCTGCTGACCAGAAGTGGCTGGGGCTGACCACCAGACCTGGGCTGGCAGCCTTCCCCAAAATCCTCACCCGCTTCCACCCCGGGGGCCTCCTCCCTGCAGGAACCTCACATTGTGGTCTGGCTGCCATGGAGAAAGTCAGTGTGCAGGGGACAGTAAAGCCGGGCTGTGAATTGGCAGAGATGAGGGAACATGGAGAGTTCTGGAAGCATCACATCCTGGCACCCACAGCCAAGGTCTTTCTGAGGCACTGCCATCTCCAGCTGGGACCTGCTGCGGGCCTCCGACTCGGTGGCTGTGAGCTGATGGATTCCCCACTGGGAGATGGGACGGAGCTGGCCTGCACGCCCCTCTTCTCCTCTTCCCCCTGATCCCTGGAGTCTTATCCAGACTCTGCAGAATGAGGACACTGTGGTGATTTTCCAGGGCTGAGCTAACTGGCTGGGAGCAGAGATGGTGTTCAGCCATGGCTGCCCGACCTTGCACCACGCACCTTCCCACACACTGCCCTCCGCCCACCAGCGCCCAGTGGCTGTGGCTGGAGGTGTATGCAGCTTTGCCCCCATCTCCCCAGCTCTGGGTTTGCCTTCAGCCAACACATCTGGGGCCTCCTGCATGGTCCTTCCTGGGCAGCAGGGCTACAGCAGCTGGAAGCCCCAGGCTCTGCACATGGGAGCCAAGGGCCCGGCAGGAAGACCAGCAGCCAGGAGAGGGCCAATTCAGACGCGCAGAGAGCTGTGGGTGGGACAGCGCCATGGAGAGAGCTTGGGTGCCTCTTGAAACCCTGGGGGAGCTTCTCTGGGGTTCACCAGGCAGAGAATAGCTGGACAAGTCCCCCAGCCAGAACGAGAACACGAAGGGAGGAGGACAAGGTCCTCGTGTGGGGGAAGAGCAAGGCGGGGCAGGACACTCTCCATCTTAGATTTAGCTCCCTTGAATTCTGTTTAGGGAGAGAGAATAATGAACAAAAATGTTAAGAATACATACTAATGTAGCACCCAGGACAAGGCAATAGCCCAGTGAGGGGGAGGAAGAACCCCCTGCAGGCAGGAAGCCCTCGATTGGCGGGTGAAGGGCATGTGAGCAGGCCCTGGGAGGCCAGGCCTGGCTTCAGAAGGAAGGCAAAGACACCAAAGCTTCCTGGCAGAGCCTAATCCAAAGCACAGGGCAGGATCTTTGTAGAATTTAGGATAAATGGCCAATTCTCCACTATTTTCAGCATGGGTAGAAGCTTGAAGAGGGTCTTCAAGCAGAGGTCATATTGCAGGGAACCTTAGATGAAAAGTTAAGAAGATTCCTTCCATGAGCAGTAGGGAGCCATGGAAGGCTTCTGAGCTGGAGAATAATCAAATAGGAGTTGTGTTCACAGAAAAACTCCTGGTGTGGTGTAAAAGTGGAAACCAGAGAAGGAAGGAACTGGGGGTAGACAAATGGCCATGAGAATGTTATTTTAAGGCAGTCACTCAGAAAGGAAGAACAGGACCTGTGGAGGCCCTCCCTGGGTGCCCCTCTGGACCTCAGGGCAGGGGCAGGGTTGGGGCACACAGGTGGAACTGGTAGCCTCTTCTGGGAAGCCGTCCTGGGGCCACCCAGGTGGCTTTGGGCTCTCCTTCTGCTTGTGGCTGTCACCTCCACTTGGTCCTCTGCTTCTCCTGCAGGAACACACACACACTTCGCGTATCCACCAGGGGGTCACCCTCAGCCTGCTCTGCGTTACAGATCACTCCAATCTGAGCTGAACCCAACTCAGGTGGCCAAGGTGGCTGCCAACCTAAGTCCCATTTCCCTGGCCATAGAGAGTACCCTACACCCATTCAACCTGGCCTCTGCCTCTCTGGGGTCACATCCTGGTCCTGACATTCAGTCAAACTGTTCTCCACGCCCTTGTCTCGCCCTACTCTGTGGGCTGAGGTCCATCCATCGGCCACAAAAGCCCTGACCCCAATGAATATGGATTCAAAACTTCACCATCTATTGTTGGTGGAACTTCAAGTTGGTGCAACCACTCTGGAAAGCAGTATGGAGATTCCTCAGAAAACTTGAATTGAACCACCATTTAACCCAGTTATCCCATTCCTTGGTCTATACTCACAGAACTTAAAATCAGCCTACTACAGGGACACAGCCACATCAATGTTTACAGCAGCTCAATTCACAAGAGCCAAACTGTGGAACCAACCTAGTGCCCTTCAACAGATGAATGGATAAAGAAAATGTAGCATATAGACACAATGGAATGTTATTCATCCATAAAGAAGAATGAAATTATGTCATTTGCCAGTAAATGGATGGACCTGGGGACTATTATGCTAAGTGAAATAGGCAGTCCCCCCAAATCAAAGGCCAGTGTTCTCTCTCACATGCAGATAATGACCCACAACAGGCAGGAGGTGTTGGGGTGAGGGAGGGAGGAGTGGAGGTTCACCAGATGAGAGAGGGGGGGAGTAGGGGGAAGGGAATGGGAAAGATAGTAGAATGAATTGGACGTCACTTTCCTGTGTTCATATATGAATACATGACCAGTGTAACTCCACCTCATGCACATCCACAAGAATGGGAAGTTATACTGCATGTATGATATGTCAAAACGCACTCTACTACCATGTATAACTAAAAAGAACAAATAAAATTTTTTATAAAGTTAAAAAAAAAACAAACCACTTCACCACTTAGGCATGTCTCCATCACCAACTGCTACCACCCAGGACTCACCCTGCCCTCTACTTCCTGCCGGCCCTCTAGACATCTATGTTGGTCAGGATCGAGTTCCTGGAAATAGACCTGAGGGCTCAGAGAACATCTGGTCCCACCTGCAGACCCCGATCCTGGACGCTGTACGGACTCAAATTGTGAGGACCCCACCCAAGTCCTGATGTCCAAATCTAGCCCTTGAGAGCTAGCTACCTGTAATCCCCCACGGGGTCCCCAGCCACCCTGCCTGCCCACTGTGCCCCTCCTGTGGAGCTCTGAACCTCATGCCACCTCCGCCATCATGCCTGGCATGTGAGTCACTGAGGTCAAGGGCTGGGCTGGAGGTGCCCGCCTGGGGTTCTGGCGTCCAGCTCTGCCCACACTCCTGCGGCACATGCCTGTCACCTGAGCCCGCGTGCTCCAGGCTGCCAGAGCCTGCCGGGCGGAGCCAGCTGGGGCTGGGAGCAGGGAGGTGTGGGGCGGTGATGTGGCCCCATCTGTGGAGACACTCTGCTTTCCAGAGCTCCAGAGCCACTGCCCCAAACAACCCATTCCATCATCCGTGTCATCTCAGAGCAATAATTCAAATTATGTGTGATGATAATAAAATGATAATGACAATAATAACAAAATCAACCGCCGTGGAGCACTGTGTGCCCAGCACAGCCCCCGGGCTTGACGGGGATTATGTCACCCAGCCGTGGGGTGATTATGTCACCCAGCCCTTCTTGCAGGTGAGCAGGCTGGGCACCGAGACATGACGGCTCTGCACCAGGCTACCCTTCTCAAGCCACACCACCGTTCAGCAGCCAGGACCTGGGAGCCACCAAATGGCTTGTGGGCTGCTCCCTCAAGGGGGAGAATCACCCCTGGACTCAAGGCACATCAGAAACTTGGTGCACGGCTGCAGTCCCCACCAGCCAGCTCACCCGACCCCCGAAAACCTCACTGGAGGACGCGACTTCAATCCTACATCACAGATTTCCATCTGAGCATCCATTACTTTTTTTTTAAAGGGAAATAAATGAAAGCCCTGGTCCAGTTGTTGGGGACCTAGTGAAATCCCCAAATCACAGAGCAGCCTGTGCGTGAACGGTGGTGGTTTATATTGTTCCTTCATTGTCATCAGTTCCGTCACTCAGTTTACAAGCATTTCCCCAGCTCCACAGGTGAGGAGATCAAGATCCCGGGAGACCAAGGAGGCTGGGAAGTAGCACATCTGGTTTTCTGATTCCAGATAGAATTCTCTGGTCTGCACCTCTCCATTTGTCTGCTCCGTAATCTTTCCCTCCGATTTCTGGTATCTCCCATTGCTTTCCTGATATCAGTCATTTACATTTTAGCAAGAATAATTTTCAATCCGTATATTCTTTCTCCAAAGCACTCATCTTTGTTTAGTCCCAGGTCACAGAGGCAGGCCTCTCTGAAAGGGCCATCTGGTATCCGTGAGCTTTGGCAGCTCAGAGAAGAGCTTTGCAATAAATGTGACCTACTTAGCTGCGCTGCTTGGTTTCGCCAGCCTTCTTCCTCGCATCCTGGACAGTCTTGGAAACAAGGACGGGTGAAGGGAATCTTCCCGCCTACCTGCAGGGTGAGATATTTGATGACTGCATCCCGAGTGCCCTGGGTGCCGTTCCTCACTCTTGTGCTACTGGCTGGTGGCTGGTCTTGAGCCCATCCGAGAGTGCATGGAGCATCCTGGGGAACAGACACATCCGTCTGCACGTTTCTTTACCCTTCTCCCCAGGCTGCTTGGCTTCCCAGCCCTGGGATGGGCCCTTCTGTTTTCCTGAAAACTCAGAAATGAGCTTTCCCCGCCCTTAACTGACGTGCAGGAAATGGGAACCTCTTTTCCTCTGCCAATCTCAGCTCTCTTAGCTTCTCCTCCTGCAGTCTGGTTATGTGTTTAAAGTGCACATCTTTTTGATGGCCTTCTCCAGGGCCTGTGGCAGGATTCATAACACACATGGACTACGTACAGGAGGGGACATACAGCTCCATACAGCTCACTGCCCGCATCATCATGACTACCACTATTAATCACTCACCAATATCACTATTACGAGGATTATTACTAATTATTTTTAATTTGCTTCCTTCGAATCAGCCACTGTGCTTGATAGCATCGTTAGCACCTGGGAAAGGGGGTGACATGAGCACCTCAGTAATCCCATCAGACAGAGGGGAACAGTGGGGCACAGAGAGGTGACATCGCCTGGGTGGGGTGGCTCAGCAGATGCACGGATGCAGCAGTAAGCCTGCTGTGACGGTGGGACCTCCCTCCCCGCTCAGTCCCTCTGAGGCGGCTGCCTGGGCCAGGTTGGAGGACCTTGCTGAACTCCACGTGTCCCTGCATCGGGGTCCGGCGTGAGCCCTGCCCCTCCCTGTCCAGTCCTCTCCCCCGCCTCGTCTCTGACCTGCTCCTCTTCTCCCCTCTCTGGCCCTGGGTCAGTGTGATAGGAGAGTTTGCCAAGAAGTGAGGGACGTGGCCAGGAACGCCGTGGAATGTCTGTTCCTCTGTCTGTGACACCGGAGGGCTCCACCTTACTGCTGGCCCAGTTTCCAGGCAGGTGGAATGTGCATGTGGCATTTGGCAGGGGGCCGCCAAGGCTCCGGGAGGAAGACTGGAGGGAACCAGCCTGCGCTGGCTGTATCTGTGCTGGAACATTCCTAGGTTCGCTCAGGGTCTTAGAGAGGGAGGACACCGAAGGCTGACCCTGCCCGCGACTTCCTGTAGCCTTTGTGGCTTTGCCAAGGCCACCTCTCCAGCATGCTGGGCTGCTGGAACCGAGCAGGGAAGCTCAGCCTTCCCTTCAGACAGACTGACCTGGCCTGCTCCAGGAAGTCCTCCTTCCCTCCTGGGTCACTAAGGAGCATCGCTCGCAGATGCTCGCAGACGCCCAGGGACTTCTGGGCGTCTGACGGGGAACTGGTGCCCAGAACCAGCAGCAGTCTGTCCCTTCCTGGTCCATGAGCTCATGAGGGAGGGGACCTGGGGCTCTTTTTCTCTGCCCCACATGTGGCTGACTTCTGGCATGTTCTAGACACTTGATCCATGTTTCAACTCTAGTTTTGCCAACTTGGAAGGAAGCAGAAGAGGCGGAAGGGGAGGGCACGTGAGGGAGATGGGTGTGGTTTCCGGGCAGCCAAGTGGCTCAGAGATGGGGCCAGCCCTGCTCCGTGCCAAGCTGCGCGAACCATCGGATCAGGCCGAGCCCTCCCGAAGCTAGGTGATGGCTTTAGGTGGGATTGTGGGGACAACCCCAGTTTTCCCTCTAACTTCTCCCAAGTTTTTTCCACTAGAGGTATCCACATTTAATTTTTTTACATTAAGATATTCTCAAGAGGATGTGCCTCCACTGGATAGCCATGTGCTAGTCAACATCCCACTCACTATCCCAGACTTCAGCTGTGCAATCTGCTTTGACTAAAAGTTAGATTTTTGCACAGTGCCTGCACAGGTATGTGTATGTGTGTGTGTGTGTGTGTGCGCGTGTGCGTGTGTGTATGAGTTTGTGTATGTGTATGTGTGCACACGTAACCATGCACACTGCTAAAATCAAATTGATGGTCTTAACTCAAAACTGTAGTCAAACAAGGACTTTTTATTTTGCAATTTCAATTAATTAAATTTTCAATTTAAATTTCCTCCCATATTATTTTCCTGGAGTGTTCTATTCTTACATATTCTGTTATTATCCCAGAATCTAGCCCTGGCTAGAATGACATTTAGCCCAGACTTGGGTCTGTATTAGTTTAAGTGAAACTGATTGACAGCATGACTTCCAAAAGGTCGGCCCCCTCAGAAAGCCATAGAGCCAATGCAATTTCCTGTTGCCCATTATGCAGGTGGATAAACTGAGAACTAGAGCAAAGTATGGTTTCCCCAGTCACTTGGTACATTATAGGTCTTCTGAATCCTAACCCAGGCCCCCTGTGCGGGGACCTGTCAGAGCTTGGGGTTGGGGGCCAACTGCCTGCTGTCAGCCTGCTCCTGGGAGGAGGGGCTGGTGCCATGTGAACATCTGTGCCAGGCAGCTGGTATAACACAGCAGTGCTAGGGACTCATACCTACTCCTCCCTTGCCCCCAGGAAGGAATGCGGAGGTATGATTCCACCCAAAGACATCACAGGGATCAGTCCACGGAATCGGGGGTGGACTAGAGGGTGTCACCTGTTTCCTGAGCAGTGCACTTCATCTAACTCCAAGAGGTATACTGGGTGCCAAGCACTTGGGGTTCTGCAAGCCAAGCCCCCTTCAAAGGTTTTACACAGCACCCACCTGTATCTAGCACGGTGCCCAGGCACTTGGGTGGGATGGGAGGAAAAAAGCAGGGCTGAGCCTTCCAAGGGTGAGGAAGTGAAGTCCAGGGTGTGGCTATCTGGGTGTGGAGTCCACAAGGCCTCTACTGAGCCAGTGGGGGTGAGGGTGGAAGGAGACCGCAGAGGCAGGATCAGCAGGTGTGGCAGAAGCCCACCCAGTTTGTGGAGGAGGCATGTGGGGCTGGGAGTCGAGGGGAACACAGCAGAACCCGGAGGCTGCAGGACTGGGGCAGAAAGAGGACCAGGAGAAGGGAGCTCCGGGATCTGGGGAGGTCAAGGAAGCAACCCGAGGAGAAAAGAGGGTCTGTGGGGTCAGCCCAAGTTGAGAGAGGGTGGAGGGAGTGTTCTGTCTTAGGAGAGACAACCAAGGGCCCAGGAGATCACTCAGACAGACAGACAGCCTGTGTCCCTTCCATGCCTGGCCCAGGGCCTGGAGCGCCAATCTGGGCAGCAGTTGTATGAGTCAGTGTTGACTGTCAAAATGCCACGGCCACAGCTTGCCTTATGGCCTTGGAGAGCCATGCTTGAATGAGCATTCCAGAGCCAGGAGACCTGCTTTCCAAGTCCTAGGTCTGCTAATAAATATGGTTGTCAGAACCTCAGTTTTCTCATATGCAAAATGGATCTAGAAGCGCAGGATCAGAAGAAGAGTCACTGTGAAAAACACATAAAATCCATCAGTAAATGTATCTACTAACTATGTAGGAAAGTGCACTGCAACATGACTTCCAAAAGGAAGGAGAAAACAAGATAAAGGGAATGAAAAAGAAGAAGAGGAGGAGCAGCAGGAGGAGGAGGTGGAGAAGGAGGAGGAGGAGGAGGAAGAAAATTGAAGTGTATTTCCCACACTCTTCCCCTTTGCTCTGAGAATGCGGTAGCATCACTGTGTGTAAGCATTTGCATTGCTGAGAACATTAGTGCCTTATCTTGCACATGTGCTCCAGTTTCCCATGCATTTTGATCTTGTGCACGCTGTAGAGTTTAAGACATTCTGTAAGAACAATATGTGCATGTTTTCTTTGATTTCTGGCTTGTGTGTTTGTATTTATGAAGTTCTTTCTCATTTAACATTATAAGCAGATTTCCTCCAATTCTTTTAAGTTTTATTTCCCAATTTTATTTTTGGAGCCATTTGTTTCCCATAACATTTATAATATTGTTCACCTTTTGAAAGGCTGGCTTGGGTGTGAGTTCCTTTTTTAATATATGATTTTATTTTTAGTTGCAGATGGATGCAATACCTTTATTTTATTTGTTTTCTATTTTTATGTGCTGCTGGGGATCGAACCCCATGCCTCACACATGCCAGGCAAGCGTTCTACCATGAGCCACAACCCCAGCCCTGTGAGTTCCTTTTTGATTTTGCTTTTTCTGTTTACAAAATGCTTCCTAAATTGTCGTGATCTATTATTATATTTCTCTTCCATTTTTTCTTATTAGCTTAGATTTTTGTTTGGAAAGGTTTTCATTATTTTTGTACTAAAATTTCTTGCAGGTCACCAGGAACTTGTTGCTGATGTTAATTTTCTCTTAAAATCAATCATTTGTTCATTAGCATTATGTATCGGTTAAGCTCCCCAGTTGGAGCTTAATTCAACAAAGGAAGGGTCTCCATGAACCCACAAGCCCGATTTTAATTGGGATGGGCCCTGGGGTGTGAGGAATGGGTTAAAGGGCAAGCAACTGTGTTTGTGGTTCCTGCCAAGCAATTTTCCAAAGCATTTGTGCTGGGCCACGCCCCCACCTGCTGTACAAGAACAGGGCACGCTTGCTCCACCCCGCCCCGTCAGCCCTTTTAATTTCAGCTATTTTCCTAGGTGTGTCATGGTATCTTGTTGTGGTTTTATTTTGCATGTTCCTGATGACTGTCAAGCACCTTTTCACGGTCACTGGGATCCCTTCTTTTGTGAAGGAGCTATTCAAATCTTTGCCTATTTTTAACATTGTCTTTTTCTTATTGATCTAAAATCAGGCCTGAGTCCTTTATCACAAGGTGTAAGTACCATCCGCAGTCTCTGACTTACCTTTGACCTCTCTTAGGTGAGTTTCTTTTCTTTCCTTTCTTTTTCCCACTGGGGACTGAATCCAGGGGTGCTGTACCACTGAGCTACATGCCCAGTCCTTTTTATTTTTTAAATTTTGAGACAGGGTCTTGCTAAGTTGCTGAGACTAACCTCAAACTTGCAATCCTCCTGCCTCAACCTCCCAAGTAGCTGGGATTATAAGTGTGTGCCTGGCTCTTGGGGGCACTCTGATGAAGAAAATTCTTAATAAAGTTCAACTGATACATTTTTTTTTATGGTTAGTACTTCTTTTGTGCTATTTAGGAAGTTTTTGCCCATATCAAGGTCAAGAAAATAGTCTACTATATTTTCTCCTAGAAGTTGACTGTTTTGATAATCTTGGGGCTTTCGGTAAAAAACAAACAAACAAACAAAAAAAAAACGATGAATGTCATTGGTTTTGCATAGGCCAATCCAAGGCCATTCACACTCAGGCTTGTACTTTCTTACATTGATTTCTATATAGAGAGTGAAAAGGTCACGGTGAGTTCCCCCCAGTGGACATCCAGGGGTTCTAGCACTGTTCGTTGAGAGGACCAGCCTCTCCCCGCTGAGCTGCAGTGGTGCTGTGGCCAGCATGAGGGGGCTCCTCCGGGGTGGTCTGTCCTGGATTCTCAGAGTGTTCCCTGGTCCACTCCCGCCAGCACCTCATGGTCTCCATCACCACGGCTCTCCAGCCTGTCTTGCTACCTGGAGGGGGGAGAAGCTCAGTGCTTTATAGATGTACTGGGTGGTTCCATAAGCATCTGTGGGACTTCCTTGCTTTAGAGCAGAGATTCCCAACTCTGATGTTCACCAGAATCCTCCAGAGAAGCTCATTAGAGCTCCCTCACCAGGTTTCAGCAGGCACCATTCTCTGGCTTCCTCTGGGCTGCGGTTCTCGGACTCGCTGGTCTGTGCAGCAAGGAGTTCTGCGGGTCAGGACCGAGGGCGAGAGCTCCCTCAGCAGAGCCGCATCTACGAAGGCTTCCCAGGTGAGATCAGCGGTTTTCTTTTACCAGGTATGGCTTATATCCTGTTCTCCTGTGTTCCACCGGATCCAGGCTCTCGGAGCCAATCTGGGGCATATGAACATGTCCCTAGTTTACGCATAGGTTCTGTACCTGGGAGAAACGAGGAGGAAGGGTGAGACTGAAGATTCCTAGCTCTCCTCTCACCCCACACAAGGCAGTGATGTAAGAGAAACATCAGGCCCCTCCTGGGCCTCAGGCCAGTGTCTCTGATCCACAATTTATAGCAGAACCCCAGGCTGGACAGTCACCTGCACCCTCCTAGCCCCCACAGACACCAGGCCCACACCCATGGGGCTCTGATCTTTCCATCTACAGGTATTGGCCTCAAGTCTAGGCCAAGGTCCCCTGATGGGCCCTGGGAGGGGGCTGGGCCTCCCATGGCCATCTCTCCACCCCTCCCATCCTGCAAAGCTCCTCTGCCTGCCTGGGTGGGCAGCTCCTCACCAAGACTTAGCTCCTGTGTGGCCTGCAGTCCACCTGGGGCTGCCCTCTGCCTGCATCCTACTGGCCTTTGAGCATTGTCTGGATTCAGCCATCCTCAGTGCCACCTGTGTCACCCAGTGGCATCCTTGCCTGGGACAGCCGCTGCATGCCTCCTGTAGGAGTTGTCCTGGAGCTGTGAGAGGGTTTGAGACAGGCTGGCGGGCGGGGACCACAGGACTCACACAGGCCTCGCCCTGTCATTAGCAGGCAGGACTCTTCCTCCCAAGCCAAGAGTGCAGCCCAGATTCTGGGTCAGCATCCACCTGGCTGGCCCTTGTCCTCTACCTTGGCAGCCTCTGCCGCGATGGGACCACCTGCCCTGGCTTCAGCCCATCCTTCCACCTGGGGCCCATCTGCAGCCTGGGCACTGAGGTTGCTCAGCTAGTCTGGTCACATGTGACCCCTACACACTGTGACAGGCGAGCCTTGCTCCCTGAGTGAGGAAGGGGTGCTCAGGGGCCTCCAGTCTCTCTCAGATCCTGGGGGCTCTGGAGCCCCTCATGCACACAACCTCTTTGGTCTGGGTCACAGGTTCTTCGGTTCAAAGCTGAACCAGGTATGGCCTGAGCCAGGGCCACCTCCTTCCAAGAAGTCCTCACTGGATCACCTTTTCTATATGGCTTTTGGGGTGAGAGTTAGGTGTTGGCTAAAAGCAGCATTCCAAAGAGAGGAAAACCACGCGTACACCTCTTCTGGGGCCTCGTGGTGCTGGGTCCTGTGACAGCTCCGGGACAGGAGAACCTGAGTGGTTTCTCTGCTCACTGGAGTTCATTATGAAAACAACTGAAAATCGGCCCACGGAGGCACTGTGATTCCACCGCAGGATCAGTGGGCCTGGGAGGTTCTAGCACCGTCCACATGTGCCTCTGTAGGCGATACAACTAAACATAAGAATTTCATTTCATTTTAAATGCTTGAAAGTTAGCTCTATGTAGTACCTGCTCCTTAAGGACAAGTTGGAAAATGCAGAGAAGCCAGGGAAGGAAACAAAACCCAACTGTGGCCTCATCACTTCAGCACAACAAAAAACACAATAGGCAGAGACTTCCTGGATTTCTGGAATGATCACTAGCATTGATGCACCTGGATTCCTGTTGCCCCTGAGGGAAACCATGCCCCTAACCCTCTGTTCGTCGCTCCTCAGTCCTTCTTCCCAGAATGACTCCCCATGAGCTACAGTGACAGAGCTGAGAGTTTGAAGCCCAAGAGAAATCACACAAGCAGCAACGAGGGATGAGGGAGAAGGACCCCCAGGTGTCACACTTCCCTGGATGACAAAGGTGATCTGGGGGTTGTAGAGTCATTGTCAGGACGACAGCCTGCTCCACCTGTAGAATACTCCAGTCTCCAGACCCAGATGGCGGTTGGGAAACAGAGTGGTTGCAAAAGACCTGAATGGACTCCTTCAGAAAGCCCCAGCCCAGTGGGCGTGGTCGCAGCCTCCTGTGCGAGGAGAAGCCCCCGGGGAAGTGGTGTGGCCATTGCTCCTGGAACCCCACCGCCTGCCCACTCAGGCCAGCTAATTCTATTGGCCTGCACTTGATCTTTCCAGGAGGCCATGGAAGTATAAATAATAAAGCAAGAAGGGCAGATCCATTTGGCCAGCCCAGCAGATTCCTCCTGGAGGCTGTGAGTATGAAACCTTCCCTGTGGAAAAAACCAGGGATTCCTGTGTATTCCTCAGGAAGTTGGCTCAGATTGAGGGGATGGATAGTACTGTCCAAGGAGGGTGTCTTGAAGAAAATTCTAGGGGAATTCCCACAGTTGGGGAACTCCCCTGGGGGAGTTTGCAGGGCAGCCTCCATGGAGGCCCAGATGCATTCCCATGGGCTTCTAGGGACAGCCTGAGGGGTGTAAGGACGGAGGTGGTCTTGAGAGGTGAGGCGGCCCTTCCAACTGGAGTCCACCTCTGACCTCTGGCTCTGGCCATGGTCAGCCTTGTACGTGAGCTGTCTGTGTACCTTCAGCTCTTCCCAGGACACAGGCTGTATCCATCAACCCACCAGATCATGGAAAGTGAGGCTAAGCTGCCTGTTTAGAGCGTTTTTGAGGAATTGCCTCCACTAACTGGATTCCATGCTGACCCGCGGCTGCAACACACTGTGACGCTAGTCTCTGTTCACGCTGGGCCTGGGCTGCCCCTTTATAGCACAAGTGGGCCTGAAGTTAATGGCCACTCAGACTTTTCAGCCCCTGTATTCCCTCATTCTAGAATGAAGTCACTGCAGGGGAGGAGGACCAGCCAGGCAAAGAGGTGGAAAGTTCTTGAGGGTTTGGAGGAGTCTGTGGGGCTGGTCTGGGCTTCTCTTCTCAGGTGTGAGAGCTCCCTGTTTGCTTATTCTGCAGCATCTATGTGGGCCATTCCTTGGGCATTGTCACAGGGTCCCACTACCTGGCTCCAGTGACAGCACATAAAGTATTTCCTAAAAAGACAGAAATCCTCGGGGCAAATTAATAAGTGGGGAGGCTCCATCCTGTGTTTCCCAGGAAGGAATATAAAAGATATGGCGATGGTCAGTAGAATTCTTTTATGGGGCTTCTCCCACTTCCCACAGAGGGAAGAGGAGGGACCGTAGCACTACTTAGCTCTAAACTTGCTTTGAAAAATAATTATTTAATCTCTAAAATGTGTAGAACAATTTTCATCTTAAAACAATTTCAATCTTTTAAAATGGGTAGACCACAGACCATACCTGGGATGTCTCTTCAAGTTCAGGGCTTTGGTTCAGTCTTATTTTGAGAGGCCAAGGCACACCTCTAGGAAAGTCCCTTCACTTCTTTGAGCCCCAGGGAGGACAATGAGTGTACCCAAGTTCTACGCACTTTATCAGGGACTCCAGAAAGAGTCTGAGATAAGCTGGGGTCTCGGAGGGCTTGGGGTTCCTTCCTCGGTGTAGGAAGGAATGACTGATGTGTCCAAGGGAACATTCTGGTTGCTTGATGCTCGCTCTGTTGGGCTGAAGACTTTGGGGATGGGAACTTGTCTGAGCTTTCTATACATTGTCCCATTGGCTTGAGGAAGGATGTCACACAACTTTTCCTGGCCAGCCAGCTTCATCACAGAGGAGAGAGGTAGGAGACTAGACATTAGCAAGGGTGGGGGGAGGCAGGGGAGGCCTTTCCCCTGAAGTGAGGGGTCCCACCTCTGTGCAGGAGCAGACCTTAGCAGCCAATATGTCCCCTGGTGGCTCCCCAATCTTGTTTCCCCAACCTGCTGGCGATAAATGAGGAAGCACTTTGTAAAATCACAAGTCTCACCAGTGACCCCTCTGTAGCCACACCCAGGGATCCAGCCAATCTCAGATCAAAAATATTTGGGGCAAGTCTGAAATGTTCAGTTTTTTTTTTCCTTGCCTATTCCCTAATCGATAGAGTATGACAACTACTTATGTAACACGTCACATTAGGCATTATCAGAAATGTAGAGGTGATTTAAAGCACTTGGGAGGGTGCATGTAGGCTACGTGGAAGGACTGTGCTGTTTTATGGAAGGACTTAAACATCCAAGGATTTTGGCGTCCTTGGGGGATCCTGAAACTCACCCCCCCGCCATGGACACTGAGGGATGGATTATTAAGCCCACTATCATACCTCATTTAGAGGGGAATTTAGAGGGGCAGAGGGAAGTGGGGGTGGTGTCCCCATCCCTCCTATGGGGACCCCTTTCTGCAGGGTGGGGATTTGCAGCACCTGTGCTGCCAGAGCAGATGGCTTCTCACTTGGGTGGGGTCTGTCTTGTGGGTCAGTGAGACACTGTTTCATCTAGTCACAGGAGAAGGAAATTATTTTTCTAAATGAATAGGGAACATGGGGTAGAATAGTCAGGGAATGGAGACACTTACTTTAGTAGCCCTCTGTGCCCCTTGGTGTCCCACAGGGTTCTGTTTCTATCTTGTTCTTTTTCCTCTTGATTTTATTTAGTTCAGGTGACAACCAAACACACACACACACACACACACACACACACATTCCAAATTAAAACCCAACCAAGAATTGCTCAACGTAGGAGAGTAACCTATCAATTCATTGGGTAATAACCAGTTGCTCAGCTATTTTAATTGATGGAACAAAAAATTGAGCCTGCTCAGGCATCTGGCAAATGTGGGTCACTTTAGCATCTGTGATGACATGGAAAGGCCCACAGTGGGACTAGTGTGGGCTGGTGGGGAGCAAGGCCAGGCCCTTCACACTTGGGGGTTGCTGGAAGGGATGCCCAGAGACCGCTGGGATACAGGCTTGTAGAGGTAAGGGAGGCTGAGACCCAGCCAGCAAGTGCACTGCGTCCCCTGGGGTAAGGCAACCAGCTGAGCAGCAGCGTCTAGTGGGAAGAGGCCAAACTCCATAGTACCCTCAAGCTAATAGGCAAAGATACTTACAGACACCCTAGAGGGTAAAGAGATTGGCCTGGTGCCCCAATGTGTATGTGGGAGAAGACCAATGCCTGGACTTTAATTCTCGGATCAGTTCTCACTTCTGAAACTGTAGTAGGTACAACTTGATGGGGGTCAGCACGGAAGTTCCACTGCACAGCCAGTCAGCTCATGTCACGCCGAGCCTTTCTGCCTGCCCCATCCTGCCTTACACGCCCAGCTCCTACCCTGTTGCTCCAGGCTTTGCCCCTCAGGTGGCTGGCAACCCTCCTTCCAGCTACTGAGTGACATGTCCAAGCCTCTCTACTGGTAGAGAGGACTTGAAACAGCACACGGCATGGCTGGCAATCCACTGGGAATAACAGAAATTTCTATTTTTAATCCAGGCAGCCTTTGGAAAACACAGTTCAGCCCCGGGAACTCCTGAGATTGGCTCCTTTCCATTATCTATTTTCTTTTGTTTATCTGAAGCATAATTAAGGATTCTACCCATTTCTCACCTACAATCTATTTTCAGATCACCCATGGAGTCTGGGCTCATCACCAATTATTTTTAATTTTTACCAAAACATCGTCCTGGAGAGTGGGAGGTGCTTAGAGAACTCCTGGGCTCAGGAGATTCTTTCCAGAATGCCACAAACTCCAGAGGACGTTAGGCCAGAGCATGGAGCCCCCACTTGATGGTTCTGGCATTGAAATATATGCGCATAATACTTGTCAAGATGCTTCTGGCTTCAGGACCTTGACCACGTAACTCAACCTCACTGCCAGCGTGCAGGGAGGGTGGGTGCTGGCCCCAGTTTCTCTGCAAAGCCCTGCCATACGTCCTCTTTGTGCTCTGGCTTGTTTTCCCTTCCCCCTGGGGCAGTGTCGAGTCCCTTCCCTAGCTGCCACAGTCTGCAGCCCAGGACATCCAGGGAAGACTGAGGGCGCACTCCCAGCAAACCACTAAACAATTCTAAAGCTCACCCTCATTGGACCACTCGAGTCACATGCCCCTCCCTGAACTTGCCCTCATTGGATTAGGCCAATCGCCTGGACCAATCAGTAGCAGGATAAGGAGATTGCCCTCCACCAATCAGGTCCTGCCTTGGAGCTAAAAGTAGAGGCACCTGGGCGGCCTGAAGGAGGAGTTGAGAGTGGTTAATGTCCCAGGAAATTATATATGCCATGTCCTGCACCCTGGGGACTGATCACAGTCACCAGCTGTCTGATGCACTCCAAAAGGGAGCTCTCCAGAATCCTGACCCGAGGATTGGAGCAGAGCTGGATGTTACCAGGTCTGCATCCTGGGTCTACTCCTTCTCTTTCTGGTCCTGGTCCCCTCACTTCCTGCAGCCTCCTCCTAAGACAGCTGTCAATCCCTGACATGCACCTGCTTCCAGGGAAACCAGTCTGAAGCAACCAGGGACAGCTTCCCTGCTGAGGAGCTCATCCTTTCCTGGGGATTACAGACTCCTGGAGATGTCAGTTAGGGTTACACAGTAAGTGATGTAACAGAGGACCCAGCAAAGAGATCTGCCTTCGCTTTCCATGTAAATTAGTAAAAGCCAATGGAAGCAGTGTACTCGACCAGAAAAATCAACACACGTTGTAGACATCAGGCTTTGGTGGCTCTCCGTAGCCTTAGGAGAGCGATAGATGGAAGGAAAACATCCAACAAAATTCTTGTCCCCAGAAAGCTCACAGTGCCATTGGGAGGTATCAGAGCTGAGAGGCTTTTGATGAGAGAGCCCTCCTGCAGCCAGGAAGATGTGGCTTTTCCTCTCCATGCCACCACCCCTTCCCTTCCTTGGGAGGAGGTTTACTGGAGGCAGAGTTCTTTCTCCTGTAGAGGATGTCCATCACCTAGAGGTCACGTGATCTTACACAAAGAGCACCAATTCTGCAAATTAGTCACACTCCTTTTGGTTATAAGGAAAAAAAAAAGTCCAACTCAAATCATCCAACCCTAAAATCAAAATCCATTGGCTCTTATAACTTAGAAAAATGAAGGTGGATGGGCATCCGGTAAAGGTTGATCCAAGGACTCCAAAGATGTCATGATGTGCCACTGTCTATTTCTCTCTTTCCATCTCTCCCTGTCTTCTCTCCATGTAGAAGTCAGGACCACATTCAGTTTTGGGGGCTTTATCATTAAGCCAGTCACCCCATAATTAAGAGAAATTTGCATTCTCCAGGAAAGACACCCATTAATTTGATTTTGGTCACACTCTGATTTCTTAATCAGTGTGACATAAAGGATGAATTTTGATGGCGTGTTCTGGGTCCCATGCCCACACTGTGGGGCATTCTTATGATGAGGTGGAGAGTAGATGTTCCTCAAAGGAATGGATTCGCTGCTACCATAAGATGGGGAGGGAAGTGAACAAGAGCTATCACTCTTGAGGGGCCCAGGACCAGGAAGACAAGGGACAGAGCAAGGGTGCAGTGCCAGGGAACACCCAGGTCTCTCACTTATAAAATGGAGATATAGGGAGGCTATAAATGTCATCCTGGATGTCAAAGCACTCAGCAGCCTCTACATACAGCCCCTGTTAGTCACTGCGTTTCTTCTTCCACCTGGTCTTCCACGTGGATAAGGTGGGACAGTGGATCTCCTTTGATTTTCTCTGCTAACCTGAGATCTACTACTCAACAGGACAATCCCCAAGGACAATGAACCTCCCACTGGGCCTGGCCCTGTTTCTGGCTGGCCTCCTCGCCACAGAAGGGCTTCTCTCGCCCAATGTCTCTCGACTCAGCTATGGAGAGCTGAGCCAGACCCAAGGGTTGAAAGCAAAGAGGATCGCCCATGAGCTGGCAAAGCGCAACATGGAGTTTGGCTTCAAGCTGCTCAAGAAGCTGGCCTCCAGAGGCTCCAGGCAGAACATCTTCTTCTCCCCACTGAGCATCTCCACTGCCTTCTCCATGCTGTCCCTGGGCGCCCAGGACTCCACCCTGGAAGAGATTAAGCAGGGTTTCAGCTTCAGGGAGATGCCCGCCAGAGACCTTCACCGGGGGTTCTATTACCTCATCCGCAAGCTGAACCAGGAGAAGCAGGGCACCAAGCTGGCGGTCGGAAACGTTCTGTTCCTGGATCAGAAGCTGAAGCTACAACGGAACTTCCTGAGAGAGACCAAGAATATGTATGAAGCAGAAACCGTGCCCACCAACTTCCAGGACTTGGAATATACTCAGAAGCAGATCAACAACTATGTCAGTCAGAAAACCCAGGGGTTGATCAACAACCTGATCAGCAGTATAGACCCTGGCACTGTGCTGATTCTGGCAAACTTCATTTACTTTCAAGGTAAGGTTTGAGACATGCTGGTGTGGAGAGGAGGGGATGGCCAAGAGGCATGGATTAAAAACCTGGGTTGGCCTCTTGCTTGCTCTTGACCTTGAATTTCTACGTAATGAATCTCTCACTTCATAGAATGAGGATATTGATAGATACCATATAGGGCTTTTTAAAGACGCAGTTAGATAAGTTTCAGTGGTATAGTGAATATCGAGTGGATGCTAGTCATCATAAACATTGTAGTCATTTTCTTTGTCTTTAAATTGAATACCATTTACATATAACCCATCTGGTTGTGTTTGGGAATCGAGGTGAAAATGTTTGTGAAAAGGGCTTCATGAAGTCTAAATTGTTCTCTATATGTCCATTTTCATTATCACTGATTATCCTAACATGACACTAGTTGATGTGGTTGGAGTGACATTCTCATCTTCATTTCTTAGATGAGGAAAAAAAATGAAAATCAGGGACAGATTAATTACTCATCCATGTTTCAGAGCCAGTCAGTGACAGTCAGGATTGGAACCCCTCTCTCTTGGCCTTGGGCTGGGTATTTTTCCACTACACCAAGTATTCGTCCAGGATGGTGATTGTGTTTTGGTGGTGGAGATGATGAGTTTGGGGGGTACCTTATTCTCCTCATCAGATTGCCTAACTTCCCCGTGTCTAAGAGAAAACCTGAAATAGACCTTCGTTCCCCCCTCTGCACATGACCACTCACATACCATGTGCACACGCAGAGGTTGGCCAAAATAGGTGAAAATCACAGAGGCCAACACCCCTCAGTTTAGACAAGATCTCTACAGGGCTGTCAATACCATGGTTCAGTTCTCCCAAATTTCACAAGGAAATTGATGGTTACTGAGGGGGGAAAATCCAAAATCACAGTCTGTCCAAGCCAGAGGGAAAGAAAAATGAATTTGGGATTTCTCAAAGGGCTTACATCCCCTACATCACCTCAGGAACAACAGTGACACCAATAATGCTGATGGTGGCCACCATCCACTCAATGATCACTATATCCAGCTATTGAGCTTGGCTGCTTTATCCCACCAAGTCTCCAAGTGAACCTATGAGGTATCTGTCAATATCCTTATTCTTCAAATTAAGGACACTGAAGCCCAGGGAGATTGAGACACTTATCAAGGTTATGCTTTTAGAGCAGTGAGGCCAGGATTTGAACCCAGGGATTGGCTCCCAGGGACCTATTCTGAGATCTGTGAGGGTAGCAGGTTAGAAAAGACACAGATCTGAGTTTACGTGTGATGGGGTCAAAGCATCCTCAGGATCAAGAAAGAGAGATCAAACACCCAGAATTGAGCGTTCATTCCTCTTCAGCCAGCTCCCAAGGGCAGCGTGTCCCATTAGTTTTCTTGGCCCCAGGTGAGAGTGACTTTTTCAGGGATGACTTGAAATAGAGCCAGGCATCTTCATTCAAGTCACTCCCAAAGAGCCACACTAATTCAGTCCAGTCCCCAACATTGGGACATGATCTCCAGGCTTTCTCAGCCTTAGGAGAACCTTTGCTCAGGACAGTTTACTGCTCTCATCACCTCCTCATCCCTAATCCTCATTTCTTTGAGAACATGTCACTGGACCTGAGTCCATCTCACAGGAAGTATCCGGGGCACAGGAAGAGGGCAGCCTCCTGGAGTTCTTCCCTGGTGCCCTAGAATACCCAGACCTCTTTCTCTGAATCTTCGTGGACAGAGGCTGGTGATTATTTGGATCTGGACGCCTCCTTTCTCTCTGGACACTCATCTCACTTTGCCTTTCAATCCTAAGCCAGGTGGCAACACAGATTTGATCCAAAAGAAACTAAAGAGGAAAATTTCTTTGTGGACAAAAGCAAAACAGTGAAGGTGCCCATGATGTTCCACGGAGGCATGTATGACGTGGGCTATGACGACCAGCTGTCCTGCACGCTCCTGGAGATCCCCTACCGTGGGAACATCACGGCCACCTTCGTTCTTCCCGAGGAGGGCAAAATGAAGCAATTGGAGGAGGGCTTGCAGGCGAATATTTTTGGCAGATGGAAAAGATTAATGTCAAAAAGGTAAAGAGGGAGCCTGGTGTAAGGAGTGTCTTGCTCCCCCCCCCCACTCTTTATTTCTTTCATCCCAAATTTATGAAGCTCTTACCACACAGCCAAGCCCTCTTCTGGCCTCTTTGAGACACTTCTATTAGGGTAGGAGGTAGACTGGAGAAGTGTAAGAACATAAAAACACTTGACCTTGGAGAGGCAGTAAAACTGGGAGTGTGGTAGAGGTCAGGGAGGGCTTCCCAGGGGAGGTGAAATTTGAGCTAAGACTTTAAGGCTGTGTGTGGAAGGGAGAGAAGCAATGGATGTCTTTACTGAGCCTCTGCTATGATGATTGTGGGAACTGGGCACCAGGAGGAGGCACCAAGAGAGAAAGAGACGATGCTAGGGTGGACTGGGCATCCATGGGGCAAGGCGCCCTTAAGGAACTGCAGAACACAGCTTTGCTATCTAGTTACCTGAAAGCTCCTGACAGGGAAATTCTGGCTCCAGATGCTTCTGATCACGCCAGTGTTGGGGGAGGTGGAGCTGAGTGGCAGGTCACCCCAGGAGGGCTCTGCCACCCCTGCCTTTCCTCCCTGCTGTGGGAGCTGGAGAAAAAATAGGGGTTTGGGTGAGGCCTGGGTTCTCTTCTGTGATTTGGCCTTAGCAGTGCCAGCCTTGTAGGACCTTCGAAGAGGCCATGCACCAATGTGACTTCTTTCCCCTTCCTTCTGATTGGTTGAAGAGGAGGGCTCTAAAACTCTCAGCAGATCCTTGGAACCCCAGGATTACTGAATGACAGGTGTCCTGCAGCGTGGTCTCCATCCTCAGGGGGAAGCCCGCATGGCAGCTCACCCCCTGACGTAAAATGCAGGCTTCTGTTAACACGGGGTGCCCCAAAGGGATGGGCAGCTTCCAGCCTGTGCCCCACAGAGTTGTAGAGTTCACAGGGGTGTCTTGGGGGCCTCTCTAGGGGCCTGAGAGGTGTGGAAAGTGAAAGGAGGTGAGATATGGGAAGAATGTCAGGCCCTTGGCCCTCAGTTCACCCGTACTTTCTGGCTTTGTGACAGAGACTGTGGTCCTATTGCCATCGGTGTTGAAAGCACAGTGGCTGGGTCCACTACAGTTTTGCTGATGCCCCAGAGCATCTCCAAGTTATTGGTGACAATTTCTCACAGGGCTGCCATTCTGGTGCTAGCACTGGGACTGCAAGTTCCCTCTCCCTGGCCCTCTGCAGCTTGTGTACTGTGACCATTGAGCTACCCCTAACTGCACACAGAGGCTCCTGGAAACTGTTGCCATGTCTCTGCCTTCAGAATGAGGCCCACAGCCCTCCCTTTGATTCCTGCCCAGGTGTGGGAAAGATGTTTTGAGATTTCCTGCAGGTTGGCACCAGCCTTCTCAGAGGCCTGGGGACAGGGGAAACAAAGCTCCTCACCGGACAGGAATAACTTAAATAACTTCTCATGAAATCCATGTGCACCCTGCCCTCAGGGTCTCTTCCAGGGCCCCCCTCCATATCCTAGGACCTGGTCTGCCTCCCCCACCCCATGAGACTGTTCCCAGCATCCCCATGACTTGAGATGGGACCTCCCTGGCAGAAGGCCATGAGAGGAGGATCCCTTTCACCAGATACATCCTGCCTCCTAAGCTCTGTGGCCTGGAATGACCAGTGGCAGTAATGCCCCCTCCTCCATAGGAAACCCCAGAGCTTCTTATCAGCTAGGGGACTTGCCTGAGGTCCCCAGGGGGGATTGCATGTCATCAGAACCCGACAGGCAGTGTTCCTACCTTCTGAACTCTTTCAGTCTGGCTGTCAGGTTGTCGGGTTATCTTAAAGTGCAGGCAGGAGCAGCCCAGACCTCTGGTTGTCCTCTACAGGAGCAGAGAGCAGGTGGGCTATTCCAGTGAGTTTTGTCTGAAGTCCCCTCCAGACTGGACAGCCTAAGAGAGGCCAAAGGGAAAAAAAAACACCCCTTTCTCCAAAAGAGAAGTAACCACATCAACAGATGCACAACTAAAATACACCCACAAATTACAGGTTGGAGTTTAGCCTACAAATCCTGCTGCTCTGACTCCCCAGAGCAAAAACTCAGTTTTTGTTTTCCCAGGGGAAACAAAGCTTCAACTTCACTAGGCACAGAGCTGCTGGGGCTTTGAATTTGCCCTTTTTACTTATAATACAATTTGAGAGTCTCACCCCAGACTAAAAATCTCATTTTACCTTCCAGCATTGGTTCACGTTTTCTGGCTTCACTTGGAAGTCACTAAAGCTGATCTCCCCACTAGCACCTGGGATCCTGTGTCCTCTGACTGCTCAGTGATGTCGCCCTGGAAACTCTCTCCTTGCTTCTCTGCAGCAGCCAACGCTTCTGATCCCTACTGAGTTATCTCCATCAGAGGTCCAGATGCCATTAGTTTTTGGATCAGGGGCCCAGGGATGGCTCACAGCTCACAGAGTGGCTTCTGTGCAGGAAACACAGAGCAGGTGTGAGGCGGGCCTGTCACCCTGGCGCTGGCCTGCAGGGAGCCCCAAATGCTGTTGTTTCCCTGTTAGGTATCACTCCACTCTGATCTCCCCTCTGCAGGTAAAAGCCTGAAGCTTTGCCACGAGTCACTGTCCCCTCGAGTCACTGTCCCCATCTCCTATCCTTTCATCCTCACAGCTCCTTCTCATCATTACTCAGGGTGCCCATGTTGGGGGGTCCAGGGTCAGTTTGGGGCTCCTCCTTCCCCACTTGCCAAAAACGCCACAGCACTACCACAGCACTACCTCTGTCTCCCCGTGGGCTCCTCCCACGGCACCAGCTCTGTCTCCCCGTGGGCTCCTCCCACGGCACCAGCTCTGTCTCCCCGTGGGCTCCTCCCACAGCACTACCTCTGTGTCCCCGTGGGCTCCTCCCACGGCACTACCTCTGTCTCCCCGTGGGCTCCTCCCACAGCACTACCTCTGTCTCCCCGTGGGCTCCTCCCACGGCACCAGCTCTGTCTCCCCGTGGGCTCCTCCCACGGCACAGCTCTGTCTCCCCGTGGGCTCCTCCCACGGCACAGCTCTGTCTCCCCGTGGGCTCCTCCCACGGCACCAGCTCTGTCTCCCGTGGGCTCCTCCCACGGCACTACCTCTGTCTCCCCGTGGGCTCCTCCCACGGCACAGCTCTGTCTCCCCGTGGGCTCCTCCCACGGCACTACCTCTGTCTCCCCGTGGGCTCCTCCCACGGCACTACCTCTGTCTCCCCGTGGGCTCCTCCCACGGCACTACCTCTGTCTCCCCGTGGGCTCCTCCCACGGCACAGCTCTGTCTCCCGTGGGCTCCTCCCACGGCACAGCTCTGTCTCCCCGTGGGCTCCTCCCACGGCACAGCTCTGTCTCCCGTGGGCTCCTCCCACGGCACAGCTCTGTCTCCCCGTAGGCTCCTCCCACGGCACCAGCTCTGTCTCCCGTTGGCTCCTCCCACCACAGCACTACCTCTGTCTCCCCGTGGGCTCCTCCCACGGCACAGCTCTGTCTCCCGTGGGCTCCTCCCACGGCACTAGCTCTGTCTCCCGTGGGCTCCTCCCACGGCACAGCTCTGTCTCCCCGTGGCTCCTCCCACGGCACTACCTCTGTCTCCCGTGGGCTCCTCCCACGGCACCAGCTCTGTCTCCCATTGGCTCCTCCCACGGCACAGCTCTGTCTCCCCGTGGGCTCCTCCCACGGCACAGCTCTGTCTCCCCGTGGGCTCCTCCCACGGCACAGCTCTGTCTCCCCGTGGGCTCCTCCCACGGCACCAGCTCTGTCTCCCCGTGGGCTCCTCCCACGGCACAGCTCTGTCTCCCGTGGGCTCCTCCCACGGCACCAGCTCTGTCTCCCGTTGGCTCCTCCCACCACAGCACTACCTCTGTCTCCCCGTGGGCTCCTCCCACAGCACAGCTCTGTCTCCCCGTGGGCTCCTCCCACGGCACCAGCTCTGTCTCCCGTTGACTCCTCCCACGGCACCAGCTCTGTCTCCCGTTGGCTCCTCCCACGGCACCAGCTCTGTCTCCCGTTGACTCCTCCCACGGCACCAGCTCTGTCTCCCGTTGACTCCTCCCACGGCACCAGCTCTGTCTCCCGTGGGCTCCTCCCACGGCACCAGCTCTGCCTCCCCGTGGGCTCCTCCTCCTCCTCTCCTGTGCTGGACTCAGCGCCATGGCCTCCGGCCTCCGCCCATTCCTGTTGGGATTTCCCCCTCAGCGAGCAGCGCCCTGGGCTTCAGCACCATCCCCCCACCCCCAGGCCCAGGGTGCCAGATCTCTCACCTGAACTCCAGGGTCCTGACTCTGCCTGTTTCCCCAGCATCCCCCCACTTTCCGGGGGAGTCTAATAGGATCTTAGCCTGCCCCGTCTAGACTGCCGTACTGAGCCCCGCTGCAGGGCCTTCCCAGGATGACCCGCCCAATTTAAATCCCGGGAGTCGTCCTCCATCTATGGCTTCCCCTGAGCCCTTCCATCAGCCTGTCAGGAATCTCGGCTGGCCCTGCTGTAAACTGACTCTGGAACCTGGCCTCTCGCCTCCACCACTGTGACCCCAACACCTGACTGCCATGGAGGGGGGTCACCTCGCATCACCTCCTCACTCACCCCCACCCCAATACCACGAGGGTGCTCTTAATGGAGTGGACGGAGGGTCCCTCTAAACCCTGAAGGGACCACGTCACTCCTCCAGTGGAAACTCTACTGGGTTTCCAGGTTCCCTTCAGCAAAAAGGCCCATTCGACTGGGTCCCTGCCTCCTTCAAGATTTGCCCAGCATCCCTGAAATTTGGTTTATATTTCATTTTTTTCCTGTAGCACTTGCCGCCTCCCGCATTTGCGAATATGCCCTCAGTGCTTTTCGCTGTGTCCATTCCATGATCTGTCCTCCCTGCTGGAACACGGGTCAGGGGCAGGGATCTTTGCCTGTTCTGTTCACAGGTTCATCTCAAGCACCTAGAACAGCATCTGGTATTCAGCAGGCACTTAATAAGTATTTGCTGGATGATTGAATGAATGAATGAATGAGTGGAAAGGTAGACTTGGGAGTCGTCTGGCCAGCTCTTGGTATTCCAGGTCCTAGGACTGAACGAGATTCCAGGGGGAGGGACAGAGGGCAGGCAGAGAAGAAGAGAGGACCTGGTCCTGTGTGCGATGACTGTCATCTTTCTTTTTGCCCAAGTAGGACTTTCCTGCTCACGCCTGTCACTTTTACCTCCCCAGGGTTGTCAATGTGTTCGTGCCCAGGCTCCACATCTCTGGTACCTATAACCTGAAGAACACTCTCTCCCAACTGGGCATCAGTAAAATCTTTGAGGAGAACGGTGACCTCACCCGAATATCCCCCTACCGCAGCCTCAAAGTGAGCGAGGTAAGGCTGCCCTGCCGCTGCCCTCCAGCAGAGGGCGCGCCACACTGCCTGGCAGAGGCACCGCACAGGGGCCAGGCCAGGGAGGAAGCAGCCTTGCCACCTGCCACACCGGCCGGGCTGGAGTCTGGCTCTCCTCCGACCAGCTCTGTGGTCCAGGGAAACCCCTAAGGCCTCCTCAAGCCTTTGATTCCAGTCTTTAGCACTGGAACTGCCACTCTCTTGGTGCTATGTTGAAAGCTGATTCAATGCCACAAACTGATGAGGTCCTGGAATATTTACCAGGCCTAGAGCACGGGGCAGGTGGGGCACCAGATTTAGCAGGGACAATAGGAGACACTCAGTTAAATTCGATATTCAGATAAATAATGGGTTTTTTTTAGCATAAAAATTATTGCATGAGACATATTTTTGGTTAAATGTATTCATGACTTATCTTGAATTCAAAATTGACTGAATGTCCTGTGTATTGTCCAGCAGACCTACTTTGGGGTGAAAAGGGCACGGCAAGGGGAAGGATTTCAGAGTGGGAGAAGAGTGTGGGGGATGGTCCATGGGAGGGAGGGGCGTGGCCAAAGGCAGCAGGTGAGGGCTGGTACCTGTGGGTGAAGGGAGGCTCCAGCCACTGCCGGAGCAATATGGGTGACCAAGCTGAGCCAACCGTTTTGAATCCGAAGACAGATCCAGCTTTATCTTCCAGCTAGCAAAAAGAAAGAAACACGTAGCCGATAGAATTTTCTAGCTGTTAGTTTTTCTACTTTAGTTTGGAGAGTTCCCAAATGTTGAAGGCCGCCGGCTTCCCCTTCCCACGGGCCTTCACTGAGTTCCACGGCTCCTTTCTCTTCTCTAGTGAGGTATCCAGGTACCCCTGACGCTAGCAGAGGATACTGGCCAGTTTCCTGCAAGGAAAACTGTTGGAATTTTGTAGACAAGAAAGAAGTTTGTCAGTGTCTCACAAGGGACCATCCATTCTCCAGAACCTGTCACCTGGTCTTAGATGCTGAGGCCACTGGGGTAGATCTGGGGCTGAGACATCTCCAGAGGCTAATCTGGAATCTGGCTCCCTCTCAATCATCCATCAGGTTGAGCTAAGACTCCATAGACCCTTTCTGCCACCATCATGATTGAAGGTCCCCTGAAATTTATGGGAAGGGTAATTAGCCCCTTGTCTCCCTGTTATCACTGACCCCCCCCCCCCCACCGACACACATATACACCATCTTCAGGCTGCATCTGTTTGTCAAATATCATTCCACAATGACAGCAGAAAAGCCGGGAACCTTGGCACATTTCAGCTGTGCTGAGTAACTTTGGCTAAGTTGTCTCCCTCTCTGGTCTCTTGCTTCTGCCCATCATGGCCTCTGAGTGTCTTGGCAGGCACTGACCTTGCTTTTGATTCCCACAGGCTGTGCACAAGGCTGAGCTGAAGATGGATGAGAAGGGGACAGAAGGGGCTGCAGGCTCTGGAGCGCAGACACTGCCCATGGAGACTCCACAAAATGTCAAGTTGAACAGACCCTTCATGTTGATGGTCTATGAGAAACTCACACCTTCCATGATCTTCTTGGCAAAGATTGTTAACCCTTCTGGTAAATAAAGGGTCTTCCTGCTGCCTGCAGCACTCAACCATGGCCTGAGGCTGAACCTCCTTGGGCTGGAGGCCCCAGGCACATTCTAACTCAGTCCCTATGGTCACTATGTCCCAAGGGTGCCCAGTGAGCGCCACTGTGGGCTTTTGGGACTCCTGTGCTCCATCACGTCCTGGAGATCCCTCCTCGCCCTCTCAGACTTGGGGACCCTGCACCACACTGCACCCACTTGCCAGTGTCCCCTCCCTGGCAGGCAAAGGGCCTTTGTTTTTCAATCAACAAACGATCCTCCCTATGCCAAGTCTGTGGGTTGAGGTGGGTATTTGGGGGAATGTGTGAGCCACAGCAAGTGCCTAGGGGTTGGCATGAGAGTGACCCGAGTTCACATCCTGGATAAGTTGTCTTTGTGAAAGCCACACCCCCTCTGAGCTTCTCTTTCCCTTTTCTGAGAGAAGGATCATGACCTTTCCCCGTGGGGCTCTAAGAAGGACAGCACCCTGCGTCAGTTCCCCTTGGAGAGTCGTGAATGTGAGTCTTTGTTATGTCTGCTACACGACTGTACATCCAGAGCAGTCACGGGGGACCAGGCTTCCAGGTGGACAGCAAAACGTCGGGAGTGGCCCAGCTCTTGGGCAGCATGAGGAGAGTGACCCGGCGTAGCAGCCAGGACTCAGTGCAGCTTTGTCTGTCAGGTGTGCCAGTGTGTGTGTATGGGCTGGAAGGGGAGGAGCCCACCCCAACAGAGCAGCTCCTCCCAGAGTTTGTTCCAGCACCTGTGGAGCCAGAAAGCAGCTCTGTCCTGGGCACCCACGGGCCCTGGAGCCCAGGCCAGGACTCTATATGAGCTCTTTACATCGTCACATTTCCCCTGACCCAGCCAAGGTGGGTGTGAGAAGACACTAGAGGGCCACAGAAACCATCAGGGTTCATCTCAGGCATGTAACTGGGGACATAGTACTACCAGGAAAGTCGTCTAGTGACCGGTGGCCTTGGTAGGTTACTTAACTGCTCTGAGCCTCAGTTTCTTCATTTGTTGGAAGAGAACACACAATAGGGACCTCCCAAGGCTGAGGAGCTCTGAGAATCATGTGAGACTGCACTGAGAGTTCCTGGCACACAGTCGTTCCCGTGGAGAGCAGTCATAGTCTTCAGCCAAACCTCCCTCGAGCCCCTAAGGTGACCCACTGTTTTCTAAAAGCTACCCTGCAGACATTTGCATCTGCCTAATCCATGGGAATCCCCTCCTCCTGCCTTACAAGCTCCCACTCATCCTTTAATTCTCTCTTCATGAACCTTCCTCCACCTTCCAAGCATCATCTCTCACCTCCATGTATGAGGATGCCTAGTGGCTCTGCATGTCCCTTCAACCTACCTAGGCTGCAGTCCATCCTGCAGCGAGCCAGGATTCATGGTCTGCGATCTCTGGGCTTGCTGCTGATACAAGCAGACTTGGTTCCTGTCTTCCTGGTGTTCATATCCAGTGGGAGAAACAGAAGCACTCAGAAATCTTTGGTGTGTGGTTACTTGACTGTGACTACAACTGTAAATTTGTGATCACAGTTCCAGGGAGCATAATAAAGGCTGATCTGGGCCCTTGAGAGAATGGGACAGCAGGATCTCATTAAGTCTGGGGATTGAAGAAAGGCTTTCACAGGGATGTGACATTTGGAGAGAGTTCCAAATGCTGAGATCTCATGTGTTTTTATGCTGTACGATTAATTACAACTGCATATAGGTGTGTTTTCCAGGGTAATTAGTGGTATATAAAATACCAATTCATTTTTCAAATAGAAATTGTGCATAGTTTGACATATGAAAATCAATAGATGTGATTCACCACATAAATCATTTCAAGGACAAAAATTGCATTATTATCTCAATAGATACAGAGAAAGCTTTCAACAAAATTCAGCATCCATTCATAATAAAAACACTGAAGAAACTAAGGATAGAAGGAACCTACCTCAATGTCATAAAGGTTATGGACCACAAACCTAAAGCCATAATCATAGAGTGAATGAGGAAAAGCTGAAGTCATTTCCTCTAAAATCAAGAACCAGAAAGGATGTCCACTCTCACCACTCATATTTAATACAGCACTTGAAATTCTGGCCAGAGCAGCTCGGCAAGAGAAGAAATGACAGGAATACAAATAGGAAAGGAAGAAGCAAAGTTATCAATGCCGATGATATGATCCTATGCTTAGAAGGTCCAGAATGCTCCACCTGACTGCCAGAGCTGATACACAGTTTCAATAAAGCAGCAGAATACAAAATCTGCATATAAAAATCAACAGCTTTCCTAAACACCAATAAGGAATTCACTGGAAAAGAATCAGGAAAACAGTCCCACTCACAATAGTCTAAAAAGAAAATAACAGCCCCAGTAATAAATCTAACTATGTAGGTGAAAGACTTCTACAATGAAAGTTAGAGCACCCTGAAGAAAGTTGAAGAAGACACTTTAAGATGGAAAGATTGCCCATGTTCATGGACAGGCAGAATTAATATTGTTAAAACGGCCATATTCCCCAAAGGAATATACATTGTATATTCAACACATTCCTTCCATTACACTGAATACACACATTCAATTCAATCCCATAAAAATACCAATGATGTTCTTCATAGAACTAGGAAAAAAAAAGTCCTGATATTCATTTGGAAGAATAAAAGACCTGGAACAGCCTAAGCAATTCTAAGCCAAAAAAGCAAGGCTGGGGGATCATAATATCTGATTTCAAATTATACTACAGAGCTACAGTAATAAAACACACAGTGCTGGCACAGAAACAGACACAGTGGCACAAAACAGAAGACACAGAGACAAACCCACACATCTACAGTCATCTAATCCTTGTAAAAAGTGCCAAAAACATACACTTGGAGTGGGGGGGGGGGGAACCACCTTTTTAAACAAACCATGCTGGGAAACTGGTTATTACCTAAGTACAAGAATGAGACTAGATCCTTGTCTCTCAAGTGCATGAAAGTCAACCCCAATGGATCAAAGATCTAGGAATTAGACAAGAAGCTTTGCAACTGCTAGAGAAAACATGGGGTCAATACTCCAACATCTAAGTGTAGGCAACAATTTCCTCAGTAGAATCCCCAAAGCTCAGGCAATCAACGAACAGGGTGGCATTGTATAAAGAGCTTCTGCACAGTAAAGAAAATAATTGAGAGTGTGAAGAAAGAACCTACAGAATAGGAGACAATCTATTCTAGCTATTGTTCTGACACAGTATTAGTATCCAGAATATATAAAGTACTCAAAAAACTTAACACCATCTCCCTAATCAATAAATGGGGAGTAAATTAAACAGATATGTTGTAAAAGAAGAAACACAAATGGCTAACAAATATCATTAATAATTAGGGAAATGCAAATCAAGAGGTCCTCTCATTCCAATCAGAATGACAGCCATCAACAATACAAAGAATAATAAATGCTGGAGAGGATGTGGAGAAAAAGGAAGAGTTTCACATTGTTGCTGAAACTGTGAATTAGTACGACCACCATGGAAATCAGTATGGAGGTTCCTCAAAAAGCTAGAAATGGAACCACCATATGAACCAGCTACACTACTCCTTGTGTATTTAGAATACAGAATTAAAGTCAGCGTATTGCAGTGATACCTACATGCCCATGTTTACAGCAACACCATTCACAATAGCCAAATCATGGAACCAGCTTAGGTGTCAGTCAATGGGTGAATGGATCATGAAAATGTGGTACATACACACTATGGAGTTTTATTTAGCCATAAGGAAGAATCAAATTGTACCATTTATAGGAAAATTGATGTAACTTGAGAGCATTATGTTCACTGAAATGAACCAAATTCATAAAGTCAATGTTGGTATGTTTGTTTTCTCTCATATGTGTAAACGAGAGAGGAAAAAAGGGGAATAAAGGTGTGTGTGTGTGTGTTGTGTGTGTGTGTGTGTGTGTGTATGTGTTGGGAGATCTCATGAAAATAGAAGGGAGATAAATAGAATAAAGGAAGAGGGCCAGGGGAGGAGGGAGGAATGGAAAGGGGAGGTACTTGGGAATAAAATTGACCAAATTATGTTGTTTTATACTGTGTGTGTACACACAAGTAACAACAAATTCCATGAATCTGTATAATCATAATGCACCTATAAAAATAAAAAAGAAAAAAATTGGGTATAAGTTCTATTGTTTCACACATTTCCTTTTAATTACTGTTTTAAAATGACTGTTGCATGTCCTAAGTATTTTTCAATTTGATTTTACCTTCAGAGCCATATTTTCATTCTTCAGTAGAAAAAGTTGAAAAGTTGATTCTATTTTTAAAAAGAAACAAAAAAGAGAAAGTAGTTGGGGTGGGAGAAGAAGGAGTCTGTCAAGCAACAGGAACAGCATGTGAAAAGTCCCTTCGGTGGAGAGTTGGCATGGATGAGGAAGTGAAATGAGATTCCTCTTGCTAGAGCAACCAAATAAGACAGGAGAGGTGGGTGTTGTGGCTGGAGTGGTAGGTGGGGCCTCATGGGCCCCAAAGGGGACACTGATTTATGGCTGAAGAACTACTGTGAGCTATTGTGTGGATGTTTAGTTGAAGAATGACTCAGGCAAGCTCAGGTGTTGTAAGTAGAGCAGGTGTCCTTGCATCCAAGTGCCCCAGCCAGTATGTGCCACAAGTTGTGTGCTCAGCAAGTATTTGCTGAAAAAAGCAACCATGTTAACCTCCCTTTCCTGGACAAAGCCAGGTCCCTCCAGATGTCCCCTATTCCCCAGGAGACAAGTCATGTGCCTTGACATGGCAGGCCTGCCTGTGGGGATGTGGCCATGCTCACTTCTCCATGGGGTCTGCGTTATCCACTTCCCTAAATATGCTCATGACATCTCACATTCCTTCCACTCCCACACTGCCTCTCCAGGAAGTTACTCAGGTATTACTCAGCCTTCTAGGAAAGGTTAACTCCTACTTCTAGAAGTCTTCCCAGATCACACATTTGTGGACTGGCTGATCTTGTAAGTGAATAAGCAAATAAATCAGTGGGTTTGACTTTGATAACTACCACAGCCTTCCTTG